ACTACATGAATCGGTCTCTTCTTCTAAAATAGTAAGGATAACTGATTTCGACCAAGGATAAGGCACCAATATCGTTTATAAATTCCATTCATTCGATTACATATCAGGTTGGAACTAAAGATCTGTCTGATTCTATTATGTATATTACAAATGCAGATATCAATGCTTATATAAATATTTAATCATCAATATAACTTTCACTGCTTCCTAGAACCTCATCCCATCTGTCAACAAATTTATAGATACCACGTTTGCAAAATTCTTTAAGTCTTGATGGAAAATCTGAGACCAAATCATGTTCGACCTCTTTTCTTGATGGTAACCTTAGTGTACCTAAATGGTTCTGCAAACTCCTAATCAGAATGAGTAAGGTCGGCAGAATATGGAAGAGAAAGCAACCGGGCTCCTCCCAGAGATATTTAGTCAATAGTGCAGTGTGAGGGATGGGAAAGAATTATCTTGATGGAGGATTAATCCCTTTCTGCTGAATAAGAGTGGGCGTTTTCTGTTCAAAACTACTTTCAAACGACGAAGTTGTTGGCAGTAGAGATCAGCGTTGATTGTTTGATTATTGTCTAACAGTTCATAATGGTTGATTCTTTGAATATCCCATCAGACACTCAACATGATATTCTTTGGATGAAGTTCTCATCTCTGTTACTGAACAGGACTGTCTCTTCAAATGAATCCCTGGCGTCGGGACTTAACATTACGGTAAATGATCCAGTTCCCATCACCAGTAACAAATCTATCCAAACAGGTCACTTGAAAAAGGTCATACCACCGCTACGTAATAGATGTTACGCAACGGTGGATGGTGCAAGGGAGGAGAGAAGAAATCCAACAAGGAACAGGTACTACAAACACAGCATCTACTCCGACGGGAAAAAAGCCCTCTCCACTGCTAATCCCTCGGGAAGAATCCGGAAGGAAAGCCCCAGGATCGCACGTAACACTGGGGGGATCCGATGACCTGCAGGACCCATTTTCCAATCATTGAAACTTTTACATTCCGTTTCAATTCGCGTAGAACTGTCGCATTAAATTTGTCACTGAGTTACCTAGCCATTGGGGCAGGATCAACTGTAACAGCAGATTCCAAATCCTTTGAATTGAGTTCCTTTAGTTGATCCTACCTTGACCCTTCTTCTAGACTAAAATTCCCAATTTGGAAAAAGGAAACCACCTTTTGACATTTCTTTTTATGTATTGACCCCATAAAAGTACTGGGTGGATTTTGTTGCTGCACTTGCGTTGACACCTTTATGAATATCATGAAGTACAATATTTTTAATGTTTTTTTTTTTTTTAATTTGGGACGAACATAGGGCCAAATTCCGAACTATATTACGAATAAAATTCTCAAAAGTTGAAGGAAAAAATATGAATTACTCATAGTAGCATTATTAAATAACATAAAGAGACAATACTTTAATAAATTTTGTTTAACGTTTTCGCCTAAACATTGTACAGGGCTTTCGTTCCAATCTGATATAATGTGAATCTGTAAATAATAAAAAATATATAGAGAAAGAAACGGCAAAATTTCTGTATCAAATTAACCATGTGATTAGATGTAGGTAATATAATATTAATAATTCAAATCATTCAATCATATGAATGCGCCGTTAGTGTAATGCATAGCTGCTTGGAACGTGAAATCTGTGAGCCTACTTCGAATTTCGTTACATATAATTCATCCATTGGAAAATTTATAAATTCATTTTTTCTTCTTTAAGTTATGACAGGTTGAACTCATTTTGCTTGTTTGGCAACCAGTCTAGAAGATGGACAACTCTGAATTCAAAACCGCATTTAGCTTTGCGGAAGCACATATTCAGGTTGTGGGTTTCACAGGGACTCTGTGATGCCGACTAATGTCGATCTGGTTGGATGAAATTCAAAATGTTTTCATTTTGATATTATGTTCTGCGTGAGAGTGTTTGTAAAATGTCAACTTCAAAGGAATACATCGATGAAAAAAAGGTATATTTTGGTGATCGTTATAGAAGAGTCTGCTCTTGCAGAGTGTTGGACTTGGCTCTTTCCGACAGACGCGAAGTCACAAGCCCGTCGCTAATTCATGGCAAATGCTATTCAAACCTGTACAGATAAGACCAGCTTTACTACGTCAACGGAGTCGAATCACCCCCCCACTCCGTATTCCAGTTGTAAGGAGGAAGTTCCACTGAGACGAATTTTTCTTAAGAACCGCTACTTCGAATAATAGATCCCCGAGTGGATGATACTCAGAACACTACAATCTTAACCTCTTCAATCAAGGGTCAATCGATATCTATCCTACATATCCTCACTTCTTACTTCCGAGTCTTACATTTATTTCACACCTCTCACTCAGTAACCCTCTACCTTGAGTGACTATTGAGCCTTATATTGGCTGAAGAAAGTAAAAACATTTCGTTTATAGAACTATGGATGGATAAAATTCACCACTGTGTATTTAGTGTTTAAAAGTGGAATTTGGTTATTTAAGCATCGGATTCTGTAAATTTTAACTTTGAACACTTCGATAATACGTTTATAAATTGTCCATTGATAATCATCGATGAGATTGATTCGCTGCACCTTCACGGGCTTACATTCTCAGCTGACATGAATTGAGAAGATTATATTGAATTCATTGAAGTTTTCCTGTGTACGTTCATATTGAATTAGTTCACTACGTCGTGCTAATAATTTTCCACCCGTGAATCTTTCTTACATATCTATAAATCTACTATTTGTCCATGCTTTAAATATAGTAGCTACATATGACCCGGTATTAGTGATAAAATCCAAAGAAGAATCAGCAATATCCTTGGTCCTGACCTGGCTGGCATCTCATCTTCAGTCCATTTCCCACTGCCGTAATGTAACTTCCCTGTGCATTTTCTATAAATGCCTTCATGGTAATTGTTTGGATGAACGCTTTGCTAGGGAACCTAGACTTTATGAATTTAAGCGTAATACTAGATACTAGGTCTCATCAATTTACAGTTGAATTGGATAGACGCAAACATAAGTCCTATGTTAATAGTTTCTTCTCTCGCTAGTGAAACTCTTCCGGCTTCTTGCTTTCCGGCCAACTTTAATCTTTAAAAAATTATATGCAATGTCAATCGTTATCTACTGTCTTCCTAATTACTGTTCTATTGTTCTTGTTCTTTAATAATGTTTCTCCTTTTTTCTTATTCTTTTACACTCAGTAACTCCTTGTATTTTAGTCGCTTTACTGTCTTGCATGGGGTGATATGATTAAAAAAGGATGCATTATTCATCAGGAAATAATACAAATATTAGTGCCAGTTTGCATACATTGTTGATGTTTTTACTATAGAAAATCTTTTCAAATCATATAGTGATTTTCCAAGCGTAGCTTGGATGTGGCACAAGGCCTAAAGTAAGGGGCACCCAGTGAGGATTGAACTCACTCGTAATTGTTCTAGTGAGACAAGCTTGTTAACCATTACACGCATCGTAGTGGCTAAAAATTAATGCAAGCTTCACTGAAAGAACAGTGCTATTAAATGAATTATGTTCGCTTCTTTCTATTGTAACGTAAACGAATGAAATACAATGCTACTTGCTCTGTTTAATGTAATATACCCGGACGTTTTTACTTACAGTTTTAGTACAATATATTGGGCGCAGTATGTTTATTGCAAACGTCCAAAGATTTGGCAGACATAGGTATTGGCCTGTAGCTAAGCCATTTTTTCTTTGTTTGAGAGAAGAAGAAGAAGAAGAAGAAGAAGAAGAAGAAGAAGAAGAAGAAGAAGAAGAAATCTTTTCAACAAAAAGATAAAAACAAATGAATTGTAATTCGGGAAGTATTCTTTTTACAAGTGCGGATAATGCGAAACGTTCGGACTTAGACAGGCCTAATGATGTGGCGTCCCGAATTCTTTACTCAGCTTCTCCCGAAATGGAGAAAAAGGCGAAATGGAATCTTGGACATGGATAATAGAAACCATCCACTTCACTAATAGTGAGACGGCACTACCAAAAAGCTGAAAGCTTACCATTAAATTGCCGGTGCAAACGAATCCGCTAGAAAGAATTCCACATATCCGTTGTGGCCTAGTAATGCACTAGATTCTACAGAAAGCAAATTTATCTACTAAGCCATCCTTGTAAATATCAAGCAGATTAGTTTTCCATTTTCAGTGTTTTCCATTTCTCTTTCATCCATTTAATGCAGTCTACAAGCGGAAAATTGATTTTTTACACTGTCTTCAAGGGTTTTATACCTCAAGTGACTGATGGGATGTCTTTGAAGGGAAAAAGGCCCTTCCTAATGTGATCACTGCTTTATAGCTATATGTACAGCGAGGGCCGTACTAGATTTCAAGCGTCCTTATTGTGCAACTAGACGTTCCTCTTTCCAAGAAGATAATACTTTTAAATCTCTGTTATGCCAATATTTAAGAGACATCCATGAGATGAAAGACGATACGAAATTTGTGGACAATTAAAAAAACAAAAAAACAAACAAAAGTAATAATAAAAAAAAAGCAAACGATTATAGCTGGATATTTGGCTTTTTCCAAAACTGTTTATTTTTTTTTTATAGTTTTGTTTTAAAGTTGTCGGACTTAAGCTTAAGACATCATTTACTTAAAACTTTCCATTAAGTGTTGGAATTCCTCGGCCCTGAAAAACGAACACACCTTACTTTTCCGGTTGCTATATGGCAAATATACAGTCAATTTGGCACAAAATGTTACTATTGTTCTGGCGTCGACAAGAGATAAACATTAAAAAAAAAAAAAACAACTGTTAATAAAGTAGTGGTTTTCACATTCAGAAAAAAAAAACAGTTTGATTTAAAAAGAATGAGAATAGAAATTTATCCGAAAGCCATTATGTTGTATATCTAATGCCACTGTGTATGTTGTATATTTTAGCTAATTAATTGTAAATGTATTTTACGTGTCATTTTCTAGAATAAGTTTGTTATAACATCAATAGTTATGGAGATTTTAAAATGACAAAAACAGATCTATCTATCTATCTATCTATCTATCTATCTATCTATCTATCTATCTATCTATCTATCTATCTATTCAGGCTTGTTCATATCTATCTATCTATCTATCTATCTATCTATCTATCTATCTATCTATCTATCTATCTATCTATCTCTCTATCTATCTATCTCAAAGAGTATATCTATTTCTATAACACTTTCTCTTTCTACCTCTCACTCTATCCACGTATGCCAAACAATATATCTTTCTCTACCACTCTCTCTGTCTATCCAAGTATGCCCATCTATCTATCTATCTATCTATCTATCTATCTATCTATCTATCTATCTATCTATCTATCTATGCTTGTTCATATCTATCTATCTATCTATCTATCTATCTATCTATCTATCTATCTATCTAGGCTTGTTCATATCTATCTATCTATCTATCTATCTATCTATCTATCTATCTATCTATCTATTTGCTTTTTAACAGTGAAATTGATATCTAAAAAAGTTTACCCAAACACGTGCCCTAAATATAACGTTTATAGTAATAATAAATATTATCAGATTACAAGAATCCATTAATTGCTTTGCAATTAATGGATTCTTGAGCAAAAAACGATTTATATAATACAAGGAGTAACCAATGAATCGTAGATACCAGATTGAGGGCCTAAAAATATAAAGGGAACATATTAATTAAACGATTCATTGGCCCCAATTTTAGTTGTGAATTCTTTTTCTTTCATTGAATCTCAAATTTAAAGACTTGTTTCGTTGCATATCACTATTAAAACATTTTCATCATGCACTAATATGATATATAATAGGGTGGCATTAGGATAAGGGCTCTTGGTTGGGCTTTCATCACAATAGGTAGGGAGGGCTAGATGCAACAGGCAACAATAAACTACAGAAGAATTCAAAACTGATCGCTGTATTTAAGTATTGCATTAATATTTAAGCTTACATTTTTAAAAGTTCAACGGTAATTCTTCTACCGCTATTTAATTTAAAGACAGTTTGATGTACGTAGGCCCTTACTTTCCGTATAAACAATTATTTTTATTTCATGGTTGACTTTCGCTGGGTTTTGCAATTATTTTCGATTATTCCCAAATTTATTTCCAACTTATAAAAATGGTTATCGTACAAAAAATTAATCGCAAAAAACACGTAAAAAAATCACCGAAAACAATTGCAGTAATGAAAAATTGGGAATGCGAAATTTCAGGATTGCAGGTCCGGATACGGCCGGGAATATTTTTAATTTGCTCACGAAGTTGGTCTGATTCAAAAATGGTATGATATGTTGGGCTATCACCTGTAGGAGTAAAGTTGAAAGCACGGACAATTTTATTTTGAAACACTGTTATTTGAGAACAGTAATTGTTTTCATTTGAACATCAGCTATTGAAAGTTAGAGAGTTGTGTCCCTTTAACTTTTTTATCAGTAGAAGCCAAGATGGCGGGATCTGCAAACAATCGCAGTAATAAAAACTTAGGAATTCAGAATCTCTGGATTGCGGGTTCGAATCCAGATACGGCCGGGAATGTTTTTAATTAGTCGGCCTGATCCCAAAATTGTATAATATGTTGAGCTACGGCCTCTAGGAGTAAAACTGAAAATGTGTGACACAGTGACACACTGATATTCACATTTATTACATAGATATTGTTTAGAATTTGCCTTATTTATGTGTCAAGAAGAATGCTCAATATCAAGAATAGTAGATATAAACAGTAAGGACATAGAAATCAACACTGCATAGTGACTGGTAGTTACACGCCTACAGAGATCATCACCATCTATTAACTTACCAGTCACCAACTCTTTTTGATTTTGACATTTGTTCACTTTATAGTTTTCTATTTAAAATTTTGACTAACAGACTTTCGTTATGTTGGTGTCTTGAAAATTTATATTCTGGCTTAGGTCTGACTCACGACCACAAATATGAAGTACCCGGTGAGGTACCTCACTACTAAAACATTGCACTACGAAGAAGCGAGCTCTAATCTAATATTTTATTTGGACACGTTTTCTAATCTGTGTTTTTGACGTGTCGTTTCGACTTGTTTAATTGGGATTTTGTTGGCTTGGCTGATTTAACGACGCTTGGATTGATATCGAATTTTGCATGGGGGCACTCAGTGAAACCGAACTCACTACTCAGTATTATAGTCAGCTAACTCATTAAGCTAATGAGGTCAAAGTTTAATGAATAGATAAAAACGATTTCGCCATTCTGTATATAAGGAATCCCTCAGCTTACTTAGCAGAAAATTTCTTCATTAATTTCCCAAACGGAATCATTTCAAAATTGTTAGATATAAACTAGAAGAAATTTGCGCATTGTTCAAGGGGCTTCTCACATACATGGATAGTTTTTGCAATATATGTATTCGATAGTTTTGTAATAATAATTTAATCGTCTTGCTGAAACGAAAATATATTTTATTGAGGAGAAATCGAAATTGCTACATCAAACAAGAAATGCCTGCGTAAAAAGAGAGAAAACACAGAAAAGAAATCAATGAAACAGAAGACGCCGCTTCTACATAAAACAAAGATCCGTCGAAAAATGATAACCAAAAAAAAAAAAAAAAAAAAATAAAAGGGGGAAAAATAAGAAAAAAATCAAAATGCAAGAAAAACCTTTAAAATATTTCCCCATCATTCCTAGCAATGATGGATCTCACCTGATTAGAGTCAAATGACGGCAAACAGTTGCCATGGTCACAGAAAATTACTGGGCCGACCTATTTTCAATTATTATTTATTTATTTATTTTACCAAGTGTTAGAAACCTTCGTAGCTTCAGAGAAAATAGCTTGAAAGAGTTCCTAAAATGCTTTTATTTTTCTCATATACGAGTGGCTTTTTTTTTTCAATTTTTGTCCCTATCTTATTTTTATTTTATTTATTTATTTATTTATTATTATTATTATTATTATTATTCAAACAGACAGCATGAAGTTTTGTGTTCCAGGGCTCAGCAATCAAAGATTTTTATGATTCAAGGAATTAGGCTCCGGCATTCAACATAAAAAAAACAAAAACAAACAAAAAAAAAAAACGATTGTTTGTTATTAGAAAAAAAAGTAACCACCCTTTAAACACAAGAAGTTCATGCATATTTTCTGTTTGTCGGTCGACTCTTTTACTTGTTTTTATTCTTATAGTTTTATACTTTTCATTTGTAAAAGTGAAGGAAAGAAAATAAAGATGGCGGAAGTAGAATTATTCTATACTTCTTTTGATTTCTAATATATTTTTTCTACTCTTTCCAATACTTCTAATTATAGTTGTTTTTTGTTTTCGTACTTTTGATTTCCCAATTCTTTCCATCCATTAAAAAATATTTCTTCTGTCCTTGATAATTCCGGAAAGGTCGATCAAGGTTATTACAGTGGGAAGGGTTAACTTCAGTTTCTTAAAAGAGAGAATAGCAAAAGAAGTATAAAAATAGCTATAAAAAAAAAACTGTTCGAATTTAAGCGATTGTTTACTGACAAAGTATACGAATAGCAATCTAATGTCCAGTCAAATTAATTAATAGACAACTTTTTCTAATATTCGATAGCAGTTTATTTTGAACAAATAACTCAGATATTAATTAGATTTTGTCGCTACCGGTTAGGCCCTAAACCTGCACTAAACCTGATGAGTGGTTATGCCTTCAAAAAAGTTCCTTGTTTCGAACGCGTATTGGAAGCTCACTCCCGATCTCAAATGGAACGTGTATATTCATGTCATTGCAAAAAATGATCGGTTCTTTGTATCGCTCAAGAAAATACATGCTCTATCTTTACAAGAGTCAGATCAGACCAAGAATGGAGTATTGCTGCCATATCCGGGCTGGTACTATCCAGTCCTTCCTGTCTGGTCTCGAAAGAGTCCAAAAGTAATTATGTGGGTGAAGAATTAGTCTCCATCCTACAACTCTTATTCCACAGATGAAACAATGCGAGTCTCTCACTACTCTATCGCTAATTACTATGACAGATGTTCAGACGAGCGACATTCCTTAGTTCCATCAACTCAGACCTTCACGGCCATAAGATACCATGCCATACTCACAGAGGCAAATCATCCTCATTCCCTTCGTGTTTCTTTGAGAAGGAATAAGTTCCACTCAGTTTCTTTCTCGAAACTGTCATGGAACAAACTCCCGAGAGGATGCTTCCCTGACAACTACAATCTTCGTCTTTTCACGTCCAGAATCACGTGATATCTGTTCTACACGTCTACATAATATGCAGTTCTTAATTTCTCGTTCTCCCTCGGTTACAACAATCTCGCTCAGTAACCATCTACCTTGAGTGACTATTGGGCCTTATATGGAGTGAAATAACATTACAAAAATATTTTGTACAAGGAATAAATACTTATCAGTAATAGGAATGTGAAATAAATGTCTTATTGTTTAAATAACAAAAAATCTGGTTATTTAATATCTATCCTCTTATATGAAAGTGAATACTGGACAATTTCCTGACAAATGAAGATGAAACACTGAAGCGAAAGAGGGGTGGTTCTACAGAAGGATGCTGAGAATACCATGAACGGAAATGGAAATGAAATGGACAATTATCCTTAAAGTCAGAAAAGGGATAGTCTAAATTTCTATTATACATAATGAGACAGGAAGGACAGAGAAACGGCGAGTAATCTCACACGAGTTTGCGTAAATGGATGACAAGGTGGGTGGGTAAAGAAATGGCAAGGTGCACAAACTGCTTAGAGCTTCAAATGACAGGGAGATGTAGACAGCCATGATACCCACACCCTGAAAGAACAAGACATATAAAAGAAGAATTGCAAAATTGTTTCGTTTAATTTATAAAACTGCAAATTTTAAAGTAATGAACTTTACATTTTAACCCTGACAGACGTCGGCGAAATGCATTTGTTTTCAATCAGCTTTTTCTTATTAAACTGAAATGCCCAAAATTAGTGACACCTACCCTATAAGATATAGCCCACACTTTCCCTGAATAACGGCAGCTACGGGACCCTGAAGTCGCTGTTTGAGGATAATTATTTAAGCACAATCTATAGCTATCAGTAACGGCATTTTATTAGCTAGTCGCGGCTGTAAGGAATTTAGTGAAATCTGTAACATGTCACATATATTTTCCATCCATCCTGGTCGACCGTAGTCAGGATCGTCGAGCCAATGGTTACGCCTGGGTTAAATACAGTTTTCAATTCAGAGTTACTTTCCCCAAGACTGGTTGCTATTTATAGAACCTAATATTTCCTGCTATATACCCATAGCTAGGAGAATTCATAACTTTCACAAGGGTATTAGTACGTAAGTAAATGTAATCAGACTGGAATTCGAATACGTCTCTCCAGCGAGCCTACATTATCAATGGAGTTTAAATCCTGTGAGAGCCAGAAGCAATGTGGGATCTGGAAATGAGTATTTAAGGAACCCATTTCTTATCACCTGCGTTATCTTCCTGGAACAACTGGGA